AGACATCCTCACAATCTGCTCTCCAAGCGAAGGATGTTGGGCCCAGAAACAAGCAAACCGCCTGAGACATCCCCACAAAATGGCCGCGAACGAGCCCGTGCAACCACCCCTGGCGGCTCCCCTTAGGGGTGCTGAGTATGAGTAAGTCTGTGTATGAGTAAGTCTGTGTATGAGTAAGTCTGGGTATGAGTAGGTCTGTGTATGAGAAAGTCTGTGTATGTGTACGTCTGGGTATGAGTAAGTCTGAGTATGACTAATACTGTGTATGAGTAAGTCTGGGTATGAGTGAGTCTGTGTATGAGTACGTCTGGGTGTGAGTAGTATGAGTAAGCCTGTGTATGAGCAAGTGTGAGTATGAGTAAGTCCGACAGGAGGGGAGGAGAAAAGAGGAGGAGGGAGAAGGTGGAGTAGGAGGCGTCCAAGTAATAACAAGAACCCCATCTTAGGATATGGGGAACAAGAACCCCATCTTAGGATATGGGGAAAAACACACAGACACAATGAATCGTCGATCCCCAGGAAGATATGCGAAGATATGGGAAGTGGGGGGGAAGACAAACACCCAGAAAATATGGGAAAATATGGGGAATATTTTTAGTTGTGTGTATTTATTTGTGTGTTCTGGGGCCCCTTTACAGAAACCGGAGCCCAGGGCGTCGTGACTGCATTGCGCGGTGCGCCGCGCGCGCTGCTCTTCGCGCCACTGCGCCCTCGCGCCGCCCCCCCCCCCCCCCGGGAGACGAGCAGCCGCCGGCCCAGCCCGCGGCGTGCGCAGCGCGATGCCCGTCGCGACCCCCCTGGTGGGGCGCGCCCTCCGGGCCGAGGCCGACTGGGGCAGGTGCACCGTCACGGGGCCCCGGGGGGGGAGGGCCCTGGCTGGGCGCGGCGCCGGCGCAGGGGCGGTGCCGTCCGCGGCTCCTCGCGTTCGCGAAGTTCAAGCGCGCGTCCTGCGCCCGACCCCGCCCCCCCCCCACCCACCCCGCCAGCTGTCGGCTTGCGGGGGGGCGGGGGGCGGAGTAGCAGAGGAAGAAGGAGGGAGGGAGGGAGGGGGGAGGGAAAGGGAGGAAGAAGGGAGGAGAGAGGAGAGGGGAGGAAGGAGAGAGGAGGAGAGGGGAAGGAGAGGCGAGGGGCGAGGGAGGGAGGAGCGGGGGGAAGAAAAGGGCCCCCAGCTCCTCGAGCTCCAGCCGCCCGCCAGGGCTCCACCTCTCCGTGGGGGTCCTTCGAGATATCTCGCCTCTGCCATCCGAGGGCCGAGTCTCTGCTCACCTCTGGGGGGGCTTCCCGTCGCCACGGCCGAAGCCCCCTCGGAACGCTGGCCAGAGCGCACCCCTCGAGAGGTCTGGGGGCCCCTCGGATCCAGACGTCGCCACCAAAACGACTGTGACGGCCTGCTCTCTCCTGCGTCTTCGGCTGTCTGGAGGAGGAGGAGCCATACCCGATTCCAGCAACCGGGCATCCAGCCTCGCGGCACGCCCCCTGTGCCCGCGGCAGCGGCAAGGGGCAAAGTCTGGGAGGTAGAGGAGGCCACCCAGCGGGGACGCGAGAGGGAGAAAGGAGGAAAAAAGGGGGGAGGGGGGGCTGGGAGGGTGTGTGTGTGTGTGTGCGTGTTTTTGTGTGCGTGAGAGCGCGTGTTGTTAATTATCCTGGCGCTGTTGTAATCCACAACCCAGAAAGGGGCGCGAGTATATGCCTGCGCGTGCACGCTTGTGCCTTTGCGCGTGCGCGTCTGTGTATGGGCAGGAGGGGGGACCTGCATCCCATTCTCAGCACCCCCCTTCTCCCATTTCCGCCTTCCACAAGCGCTCCGCGAGGGCGGGGCTGGGCGTCACGCCTTTCGCGGCAGGCCGAACAGAAGTCCGTCTCGAGGTCTCGGGCCAACTAGCCCGCCGGCGTTCCAGAACTACTCTGGCTTACAGCTGCTTCGCTCTCAGGGTAAGCTATACGAGTCATCTCACCGCACTGACGAACAACATCTGCTTCGCGCGCGAGCAGGGAGGGCCAGCCCCGCAAGTAGGGCGGCGCCTCTCCCCTCCAGAGCGCTGGCGGGTAGGGCAGAGGATGCACAGGCTTGAGTGCGCGCGTGCGTGCGCGTGCGTGTGTGAGAATAGTTGTGCTTGTGTGCGTTTTCAAAAAAATGGACTTGCTCGATCACTCTCAGATCTGTCAAAACAGATCCTTCCGGCGTGCATCCTGGGATTCCGGAGCTCTCTCGATCGCGCTCTCTCGATCTCATCTGACATGCACCGTTCTTTTGCTCTGGCTCTTCCCTGTCCGCAGGTTTGTAGGCTCTGTCGGGCCCGAGAAGCTTGTTCCCATAGCCCCACGCGCCCACGGCCGTGCTTCAGTTTCGGACGAAGCAGTGGCCACAGCAGGTGTCGTTCAAACTTTGGAGGCTCTGGGCATGTGCGGCGTGGCGAGTACGTGGCAGCAGTTACAACATCGTGCCATTCGAACTGCTGGCGGCACAGAAGTTCTATCGTACCTGACTTGCTTGATCACATCGGTGTGAGCTTGATCTTGTTCGTGTAAAGTGGAGGGCAGATTTGACGGTGCTCGTTGAGCTGGGCTTGCCTGCGGGAGGGGCAGCTGCCTATCTTCGTGAAACGGAACGTTGTCTGCGCCCTCCTAGCTGGCCAGTTCGCGGCACGGGAACCGGCGCATCCCGCGAGTGATGTGGTGTACGATGCTGATTATGATGACGTGCTGTGCCGTGCCGTACTGCGCCACGCCATACTGTGTCACGATGCGCCTTGCTGCAGCGTGCTATTCAATGACAAGGCGAAAACCCACCCCCCCATCCCCCAGTCCCGACCTCATTGCCGCACCCGCGATTCAGGGGGTCGGGACTGCGGATGGGGGTGGTTTCTCTGTGTCCAGGAATGGAGAAAACCCACCCCCACCCCCAGTCCCGACCGCTTGAATCGCAGGCTAGGGGATGGGCGTCGGGACTGGGGATGGGGGTGGGTGTTCGCCTTCTCATTCAATGCTATGCTGCGACATGCTTGGCTATGGAATGCAATGCTGCGTTGTGCGGGATGCTGTGCTGAGCTGCACTGGGCCTTGCCCATGCTGTTCCACACCATGCTACGCTGTGACGTTCCGTGCGGCGCCGCGTTAGGCCGCTCAACGCTGTGCTATACTCTTCGCCACCGTGCTCCCTGGCACGTTGAGGCGTGGTTCAATGCCAGGTGCTCTCTGGCAGGGATGCGGAAATTCTGACACAGGGCCGCCCCCCTCTCATTACGCGTCCTTGCGTGCACCCCCCCCCCTCCCGAGGGCTCCTAGGCGCCCCGACACCTCCCTGGCGCTCTCCAAGGCGTCCAAGACGCCCAGGACGGCTGCCAGAACGGCCCGGGCAGTCCACCAGAGCCGCCAAGATGGCACAGCATGGCCTCGAGAGGCATCCAGCAGCCTTCAAGAAGCCCCGAAGAAGCGCCAAAGGGGGGCCAAGACACTTCCGACACATCATAGAGCAGGCCAAGAGGCTCGCCAGGCTTGCCAAAAACGTTCAGCGACCTAACAGGACATCCTCATATGTTGCAATAGGTTCAGGTTACCAGCCTTTCAGCTCAAGCTGGTCCAAAAGTGTCGCGGAGAAGCAAAATAGAGGACAAAAGGAACAAATGAGAGGCGAAACATGGCCCTGAGAGGCTCCCAAGCGATCAGAGTCTCAAGACGCAACCGGAGGGTCCCAAGAGGGAGTCACATGAGCCAAATACAAACTCGACGTGCCACTTCTGGGCGCTTCTCGAAACATCGCCACGCTGAGTGCTGGGCTGGCACGGTAGCAGGACCTGCCGCAGGCAGCTGCACTCAACGCCACACAGTGCTGCTGACTTGCCATGATGCTCTGGGCGGTGCTGTGGTCAGTGCACTGCTCTGATGCGATCTGGAGGAGGAGGAGGGGGAGGAGAAGGAGGAGGGGGAGGAGGAGGAGGAGGAGGAGGAGGAGGAGGAGGAGGAGGAGTGCTCTGAAGCGCACCGCACCTCAGAACGCCGCACCGCACTGCGCGGCATGACGCACGCACGCCTGCAAGCAGAACAACACCACGGAACGGGGGCGCCGGGCTCACTGCCTTCAGGGGGGGCCCTTGGGGGGGGGGAGGCCGTGGCCACGACTGGGGGGGCAGGTCCCAAAAACGGGTCGCGATGGTGTCTGGGAGGGCTCAAGGACTCCTTTTCAGGAGGGAAAAAACAGACACACACACACAGACACAATTAAATCGTCGACTCCCAGGAAAATATGGGAAATTATGGGAAGTGGGGGGGAAAACAAAACCCAGAAAATATGGCAAAATATGGGGAATCCTGTTATCTGTGTGTATTTATTTGTGTGTCCCAGGGCCCCTTCATTTTTGTGTGTGCTCTAAGAGAGAGGCCCCAGCCCAGGACTCCGGGCGGTTTTCGCCTGGAGGCCCGGGCTGGGCCCTCCAGGGCCCGCAGCACGACGGCACCGAAATCACTGACCTCCGAGGAGGGGGTCGAGAGTTCCAAGACCAGCGTCATGAGAGACTACGACACTGGGTGTCTGTGAAGAGTGCCCAGAACTTTTTTTTGATCCGCGGGTCGAGAGCGCACCTCTTCCGGTCGAAGCTAAGCGGGCCGCGCACAGCTTTAATTACAGAGGGGGGAAGGCAAAGAGTGCCCAGAAGCAGCTGATGTGAAAAGGAGGCTGCGACATCTGCTGATGCGGAAATGGGGTGGGGGAAAAGCTGGGTGCGCCCTGGCAAGCGTACACACCACTCTGGGTCTCCGATGGCCACAAGAGGCCATGATGAGAACAATCAGGACTCCACGAAGGGTGGTCCAACGAAATCCAGGCTCCCCTGGAGAATGGAACGAAGGGTGGATACTTTAGGCTCTCTTGTCCTAGCCATCCCCAGCTGAGATGATTGCAACCTACCGCAGCTAAGCTGGTCGGCATCGGAAATGGCTGGCTTTCAATGAAAAAACGATTGGGCACTGCCTCTCCTTACTCGTACCGCCCACTCCCCTGTCGCATCCATTCGGACGACAACCGCGTTGGGCAGCTGTTCTGCATCTGGGAAGTGCCGGATGTCTCGGAAGACTCCGTTCGGCAGCCTCCCGGTGACGACCATGTTCGGGTTGGAGAGCTCGTACCTGCAAGCCCAGACATTCGACGCCACGATCTTCTCGTGGCATATGCCCCCGACCTCACGAACTCTCCCCCGGGACTGGCTTCCTGATCTCAGGTCGTCTCTCTCAGCGGCCACAACCTGACGGAAGAACGACCGCCGTGGTTTCTTCGCGACGCTTGCCTCAATGCTGGAGACCGCCCAGGCCGGAGAGCTGAACCCCGGGGGCAGCCCCGGGCCATGGGACCCGTTCCCCCCCGGGCCACCTGCGGGCTACGGGGCACCCGAGCTCGCAAGGAGTCTAATAACACACCTCCTCCGCCGGCGTCCGCCGTCCTCCCGCCCGCCTCCGCCCGCGGAGCCGCCCTCCTCTCGCCGTCTTTTTTTTTGTTCAACGCGACTCCCATAGCCCAGGAAGCTTCGCGGGGGCCCCAGCAACTGCCGAGTAGACGACGCGGCGCGATCCAGGTCGATCGAAGCCCTGTCGCCGGCTTCCGCCTCGGCCCTGCGCCCTCTCCTCCGCCGAGGACTGGGAGCGGATCGAACCCCCCCGCAGGCGAGGCCGAGGCCCCCGTCTGAGCTGGCCCCCCTGCCGAGGACGACGTGAGCGACGAGAAAAAACGGGCCCTGCGCAAGAGGACAGAATGACCGTCGTCGTCGCCGTCGTTTTCGTCGTCTTTGCCGTCGTCGTCGCCGTCGTCGTCGTCGTCGTCTTCGCCGTCGTCGTCGTCGTCGTCGCCGTCGTCGCCGTCGCCGTCGTCGTCATCGTCGTAATCGTCGCCGTCGTCGTCCTCGTCGTCGTGCGCGGTGGCTCACGCGGGCCGCCAGCGCGGCACGCTGCCTTGGAAGCGAGGGCGCACACGCACAACCTGACGCGGGAAGCTCACGCTCGAATGCCGGCGCAGTCGACCCCCTTCTTCCGTCGCTCAGACGTCTGTCTTAGGTCGGGCGTGTCCCCCTACAGGTCGATTTTGGGCGAAAAACAAGATATTCTGTTTTGGATATTATTCCCACAATCGTCCCCAAATCCAACGATCAGAAATAATCCGAAAGATTCAAACATGATCGGAAACAGTCCAAAAGTCGTCCCCACCATGCGTTCTGGCTATTCTTGGACACCCCTCCTGTAGAGGGACAGGCCCCGCCTTTGAACGTTTGCCGCGGCGCCGGCGGTCTGGGCACATCGTCACCAGGATGGAGAGGAGGAACCCCGCGGCGAGGCCCCACTTCACCCCCACGCCGAGCGCCACGAGGAAGGTGGCGGCCATCACGAAGAACTCGCGCCCGTTCGCCTCGCGGGCCCGCCCGTCCCGCCCGTCCCGCCCTCGGTCGTCGATCGTCCTCGGCGTCGTCGCCGCCGCCGTCGTCGTCGTCATGCTCCTCCTCCTCCCCCCCACCTTCCCTTCCTCCATCCCTCCCTCCGTCCTCCTCCCCCTGCGTCCTCCTCGTCCTCCTCCTGCTCCCCCTCCGCCTCCCTGCCTCCCGCCCTCGTTCCCCCTCCTCATCCTGCCTTCTCCCTCCCTCCCTCCCTGCCGCCTCCTCCTCCGTCCTCTTCATCCCCCTTTTCCTTTTCATCCTACACGTCGTTCATTTCTAATCATCCTCATTTCTAGTTGTGTTCGTTTCTAATTGTTCCTGGCCCCCTAGTGGCCAGGAAGAGGCCCAGGAAAGAACAGTTAGAAATGAAAGGATCTTGGCACCCAAAAAATCAAAGAACTGTCGTAGAATTAGATATGAAAAATGTGCAATCCTCCTCTTGCAGATGCTACTCCTTTTCGTCCCCCTGCTCCTGTTCCTGCTCCTTTTCCTCATCCTCCCACTCCTCCTCCTCCTCCTCCTTCTCCTCCTCCTCCTCCTCCTCCTCCTCCTCCCTCCCTCCCTCCCTCCCTCCCGCCCGCCCGCCCTCCCTCCCTCCCTCCCTCCATTTCTCCCTCCTCCCTCCCTCCTTCCCTCTTTGCCACCCTCCACGCCCACCTCCCCCCCCGCGTTCGCCTTCCAAGCCACCTGGAACTCGTGGAAGTCTATGACACCGATCGCACCTGGCGCGATCGCTCCCGAGCTCAGAAAGGGAGGAGGAGGAGGAGGAGGAGGAGGAGGAGGAGGAGTAGACGGAGGAGGAGGAAGAGGAAGAGGAAGAGGAAGAGGAAGAGGAAGAGGAAGAGGAAGAGGAAGAGGAGGAGGAAGAGGAGAAGGAAGAGGAGGAGGAGGAGGAGGAGAAGGAGGAGGAGGGAATGAAGAAGAAGGAGGAGGAGGAGGAGGAGGAGAAGAAGGAAGAAAATAAGGAAGAAAAGAAGGAAGGAAGCAAGCAAGCAAGCAAGCAGGCAAGCAAGGAAGGGAGTGAGGGAGGGACGGGACCGAGGGAGGGCAGGAGGAAGGGAGGAAAAGAGGGAGACTCGACCACGGCTTGGCCTGCCTCCAGAAAGGAGCACGTCCAGGAAGCCAGAGAGGTGAGCAGGCCACGGCCAGGTCAACGGCCAGGTCAACGACCAGCTGCAGAGCCGAAGCACACCGCGCCCGGACACCCGCGCGTCGCTCCGGGCACGGCCGCAGGCTCCGCAGGCAAGCCCTTTTGCACACTTGCTGTCGTGCCCTGGCTGGCGCGGCCGTGCTCCGCTGGGAGCCCGCGGTCGAAAGCGAGCGAGCCTGGCAGCGTGCGCTGTCTCAGGCCGACGCTCCTCAGCAGACCCTTCCACAGGGCAGCACTCCTCCTCCTCCTCCTCCTTATCCTCCTCCTCCTCCTCCTCCGCCTCCTCCTTCTCCTCCTCACAGACCCTTCCACAGGGCAGCCGGTGCAGACGGCGGGAACGGCCCGTGCACGATCAGGAGCAGAAACGTGAGGATCAACCACGAAGCCCTTGCCCATGTCCTTGTCCGTGCAACTGCCCGTGCAGGGTACCTCATGAATAACGGCGGCACGTACAGGACAAATGCCCACATCACGAGATACAGCTGTAGCGACAGCCCGCAGATGCGCCGATACGGCCAAGGAAGCAGTGCCACCCTTTGCCATGCCGACTTCCTTGCACGAGCCCTTGCCGACAAAGGCCGCTCGAACAGGTGCACCATCAGGAGCAAGGGGCTGAAGCAGACTGGCAAGGGCGGTGCCCAGCTTAGCCGGCTGGCACCCCCTGTGAGCCACCACGGCGTCGGAGCCGCGCAACAGCTGCGGTTTGGCGCGCGCCTGCGAGCACTGGCACTGCGCACAGCGCTGAGCAGCGCGGAGCAGCGCTGAGCAGCGCTGAGCAGCGCTGCGCCTTGGCCGCCGCCCGGCGGCAGCCCATGGAGGAGAGGCCACCGCCACCGCCAGCGGCGGAGGCAAGCCCATGGGGGGGGGGGGAGCAACAGGGAGGCGATAGGGCAGCGGCCGAAGGCTACCAATGGCACTAGCTCGCAAGGCCCCAGGGGGGCCCAGGGGCCAGGACTGAGCCAGCCTAGCGGAGGAGGAGGAGGAGGAGGAGGAGGAGGAGGAGGAGGAGGAGGAGGAAGGGGAAGAAGGAAGGGGCGGGTGAGGGAGGAAGGGAAAAGGAGAAGGAAGAACATGAAAATCTGATTATGAGGATCATCGAGATGTGGTAGGCCGGGCGGCGCCGGGGGCGCCGCCAGGGGGGCCCAGCGCCGATCCAAGAACTCCGCGCGCACCTCCGAGCGCCTGAGGCTGGAAGCCTCGTCGCTCGCCCCAGCTCTGGGCTCGTGCCCTCGCCGTCCTCGTCAGGGTGCAGAGACGCCAGCCGGAGTGCAGCTCTCCCTCCGGGGGGCGGGCCGCCTGCCGCGTGCAGCCTCGGCCCAAGAGTCGCCGGCCTCCGCAGGCCGCACGCGGCCAGAGAGCGGGCCCGCTGCGTGAGGCAGCGCGCTGGCGTCCACCACCAGGAGGAGAAGAACGAGGAGGAAGAGGAGGAGGAGGAGGAGGAGGAGGAGGAGGAGGAGGTGGAGGTGGAGGAGGAGGAGGAGGAGGAGGTGGACCCCCTCCCCCTCCAGCTTATGGTGGTGGTGGTGGAAAACAGGCCCATCATCCGAGGAGGGGCTCGGGCGCCCTCCTGGCGCTAACAGCCTCGGCCCAAGAGCCGTCGGCCTGTGGGCCGCAGCCGGCTGGAGAGCAGGCCCGCTGCGTGAGGCAGCGCGCTGGCTCTGGGGGGCCGACGTTCGCCTGCGTCGTCGTCGGCGTCCGACGAAGGGCTCGGGTCCGTCAGCGGCGGCAGGGGGCAAGGTGTGCTCACCCCCTGTTGTGGGGGTCGCACGGTCGCGCCCGAAGGCGTGGCACATGTCCTGGGCGTTGCGCTCGGCCTATGCTTGGAGAGCCTCCCTGATGGTCATGGTTCCGAGGGCGAGGGCCTGGCCCGCAGTGAAGCAATCGGCAAAGAAAGGGCTGCGCGCCCTCCCTGTCCTGGTCGTCCCTGTCCTCGTCCTCCTTCTCCTCGTTGAGCCTGGAGCTGACGCCAGCGTTGGCGTCGGCGGCGTCGTCGTCGGCGGTCGCGGCGTCGGCGCAGTTGAAGCAAGCGGCAGTGCAGACGTGCTGGAGGACGGCGCACGGCATGGAGACGCATGCGGTGGTGCTGCACCAGGAGACGAGCACGTGGCCGCAGGCGAGGGCGCCGTGCCAGAGGGTCCTCAGCGGCGAGGCCCGTCGCCCGGCGCGAGGCGCTCGCCAGGGTGCCGTGGAGTCCGCCTCGGTGGGCGAGGCGGCCGCGGTGGGCTCGGCAGGGGGCTCGGCAGGGGGCGCAGTCGAGAACTCGCGGTGGTTCGCAGGTGCAGCGATAAGTGTCGATGTCGGGGTACGGTAGTGTGGCTGTCGGGCTCGCTGTTGGCGTCCCTCCCGGGCACGGTGGCGAGGCGCTCAAGCCCCGCGTGGGGGGCGCAGGGCCTGCGGAGAAGCGCCCAGGCGCGCGCCACCATTTGACCGACTCGGACGAGCCTGGGCCGCAGCACGCTGTCGAAGACATCATTCATGGCCTGAGTTTGCCGCCCCGCCCGCTCCTCCCCTCCGCGGCCGCCATGCCTCTCTTTTCCCTTCCTCCTGCAGTGCGCAATTCGCTGCGCCCCTGGGCTGCTCGACCGACCAGCGCGCTCGCCGGGGTCCTCGACAGAAAAATGCGCGCCGCTAGCCCGGCAAGGAGGGCAGTCGACAGCGCGGTGAGAGGAGCGCCGTGAGCGAGGTCGAAGGCCTGCGCGCGCAACGTGGGACAGGCGGCCGCCGGGGCCCCCGGAGAGGCCCTGAGGGCCAGCCTCTGGAGCCCTCGGCGGAGCCCTGCGCGCGGCCGCACCCTGCGCGCGGTCGCAGGAGGAGGAGGAGGAGGAGGAGGAGGAGGAGGAGGAGGACGAGGAGGAGGAGGAGGAGGAGGAGGAGGAGGAGGAGGAGGAGGAGGGAGGAGGAGGAGGAGGAGGAGGAGGAGGAGGAGGAGGAGGAGGAGGAGGAGGAGGAAGAGGAGGAGGAGGAGGAGGAGGAGGAGGACCGGTGCAAACCCAAGACTCATCAATCATCAACATTGTTGGAATAAACCTTCCTTCCTAGCTCCCTCTTCGTAGTCATAGGCACCTACAAGGATTCACTTCCACTGAGGAAAGTGCCCCGTTTGGAGACAACCGTTTGAAGATCCTGATGCGTGCCAAAACGCCATTCTCGGGACTCGAGCGCCACGAATCAACCTGACTGTTGCGTCTTGCCGATCCTGCCCGGTGCCAGAACAAGTTTCTGGGACCTCAACACCACGAATCAACCTAACTGTCGCGCCTTGGCAATCCTGAGTCGCTCCAAAACAAAATTTCTGTTACGGTGACCATGGGAATCCGTGGAACTCTTGCAGCTTTTTACCAGCGAATGCACACGGCGCTAAAGCGAGAGCCACATTTTGAACAGGAACCGCCCCCAATCCGTGAAACCCGTGCAACTTTGTCACATGTTGAAAACCGTCTGCCCTCAATACATGAAATTGTTGCCAACTTTTAAGCTTCAGGGTCAGAAAGGGAGGGGAAGTCTCAGGCGAAACGCCCGGCCCGCCCATTCGACCGGCCCCGAGGGGCGAAAGGGACAAGTTATTCAAAAGGAAAAGACTGGGAGGAGGAGGAGGAGGAGGAGGAGGAGGAGGAGGAGGACCAGGACGAGGACGAGGAGGTGGACCGACCAGCCTGGGAGCGCGAGCGCGATCCGTAAGCGCCTCGGCTATGGAGGGGTAGCCCCATCGACGGCCTCGGGGGGGCCGACGATCGCTATCGGGAAGAAAGCTCATCGACAAGCGGGACCAGCGCGTGAGACTGGCAAGGGACGGGGGGGGTCATCAGGAATCCCACCAGCTCTCTGGGCGTGAGTGGTTTGGGGCCTCTGGGGGGGCCTCTGGGCGCCTCTTGGGGGTCTCCTGGGAGCCTTTGGGGGGCCTCTCGGGGCCTGCCGCGGCGGACAGCCGCCGACCCTGGGACTCCTCCGCTGGCTCACCTTGCTGGCTGGCGCGCGCCGAGCGCAGCGGGCGCCGCGCTGCGCAGGGTCGCTCTGCGCCTGGTCTACGGCGCCGGCCCGCGCCCAGGTGGACGCTGAGAACGGGGCTGAGCCGAGCCCTTGGGGGCCGCCAGGCTCGGCCATGGAGGGGCCGATCGTCGACAGGCAAAAGAGGTGCTGTTTTGGGGCACCCCTGGGAGCCTCGGGGGCCCTCTTGGGGCCATCTGTGGAGAGATCGATCAGAGGAGGTGGGCTCCTTACGCAGGGTCAAACAAGTGGGCCAAACCTTAGCAACATCCAAAAAATTGGGTTTCCTCGCCGAGGCCATCTTGGACGCTCTAACGACCCGCGACCCCCCCCCCTCCAGACCCACGGGGAGGGGGGAGGGGGAGGGGTGGAGACACCCTCCAGATAGCAAGCCGTCTAGCTCACTCCCACCCACCCTTCCAACACATGAGTAACACCCGCTTCAGCATGTTCAGCGGTCGTCTTTGGCTGGACAGCTACTGGGAACCAAAACCGAGCCCATGTGCGCGACGCTGGGGCGAGTTGCGCCACGCGTGCCAGGCCCGCCACGCGCGCCAGGCACCCCTGGGGCCCGAGCGTGCCAAGCACGCCTGGTGCGCCAGATGCGCCACGTGCCTCCGCGTGCGCCAGGTGTACCGCATACTCCAGCCGCGC